CGTGTGTGCGTGTGTGCGTGTGTGTGTGCATGTGTGCGTGTGTGCGTGTGTGCGTGTGTGTGTGTGTGTGTGTGCATGCGTGCGTGTGTGTGTGCATGTGTGAGAGAGAGAGAGTGTGGTCCACCTGTTGCTGCTACTGCTGCTACTGCTGCTGTTACTGCTGCTGGTGTTACTGATATTACTGATACTAGACAATGTTTTTGGCTTCAATGGGAAGAACAGGGGTAGAAATTAACTTTTGAACTAGGGAGTCTAACGGACTGGACTCCCTGCCCTCAAAAAGTGGGAGTCCGCAGCAAAATGAGGGCGTCTGTGGTCTGAAATGAAAAAAGTCTGTGGTCTGAAATTCAAAATTAAAGATTTGCTGAAAAAATACTGTAATTCCGCGAGGCCGTGCTCTGGAACGAAACCGTTAGTATAGCAGAATTTTCAGGGAGTCACACGGACTCCTGCATATGTAAAACCAGGGAGTTCGACAGTAAATCGGGGAGTATTTGACTCCGGACTCGCGTTAATTTCGCACCCTGGAAGAATATTGTTTCATCCACCGTATATATATATATATATATACAGTCATATACACATACGTAGACCCTCACGTGCGCTTGTGTATACTTACACGTTGTTCGTGTGCATGCTGTGTGTAGGTGGCGAGCGTTAAGATGGGACCGTTCAGCTTCACTCTGGCTCAGGTCTACATCAGCTTCATATCGACCCTGGTCGTACTGCCTGCTAACATCCTACAGGTGCAGCTATTCCGTAAGGTGAGACACACGCTGACATACGTTTCTATCAGGTAACACTCGGCCAGCAATAGGTGATGAATGCCAGTGACATAGGTTTCTTCATCTTAACATCGAGAGGTAACATACAACAACCCCAAAAAAATATCCCCTGAAAAAAAATAAATAAATAAATATACCCAGATCGACATTTCTGAGACTTCCCACTGCTCAAGTAAACAAGAAAAACCACCCTTGGTATAGAAATCAGCACAACTATAGAGCGGTTCTATGCTCCACGAATGAAGCCAGAATCGAGCATCGTTATCCTGTCTAAACGCGCTTCATAGGCACGCGTCTTTGGTCTGTGTTCTTGCAGGCACGGCCGAAGAGAAACGAGGTGGCTGTTGGTGGCATCACCGGACAGAATAAGAAGTTCCAGTGGAAGGCTGCCACGGCTGAGACGTCACTGTGGAGCAACTTTGATGAACACAAGACGAAGTTCCACGGGTAAGCTTAGCTCTCACCGATCAGATCTTTACACAGTATAGAGCTTATAGTAAGACGAAGCTTATATTATATTATAATGTGATATACACCACACACACACACACACACACACAGGTGCACACACACACACACACACACACACACACACACACACACACACACACACTACATGAATATCACACGTTTCCTGGGAGTATAGAGGCAAGCCATGTGTCTACTATTCATGTACATACATTTATGTACATACATATTATATTTCATGTACATACATTTATGTACATACATAT